CTGGCTGAACAGTTACTTTCTAAGAACCTGCCTGTAAATTGTCTATGAACTTCATTTTAATAAAATTAAGCCATGACAACCTGCATACTGCCACAACTTCAGCAGTGCCAGCCAAGTCGCATTCAAGAGTACTTAATACTAGTGACCAGAGGATGAGCAGAGGCCTTAATGAAAACTCAAGGACCTTTAACTTCTTGCCTCCCCTTCCACACACTTCACTTCCACATGCTTGGTTTTACTTTTCTTCTTGCTTACTCCCATATGAAAACTGAGCCTGTAGATGCTACTTAACTAGGAGGGAGGCAGATTGATCCTAGTTAATGATGACCATAGATAATACTGACAGCTTCCTTCAGGTCTAAGTGCTTTGTGTGAGGATGTCGTGTAAACCTCACCTTAACCCTATGGTCAGTCCCATTTTCTACATGGGAAGATAGGCACAGAGACTTGAAGATATTCACTCATCATGAATGCTGTAGTTTAGATCTTGACTCTGTTGAGATGCAGTGGAACCTTTAGGAGTTGTAGCCTAGTGGGAGCAAGTTAAGTCATTGGGGGTCTTTGAAGAAGATGTCAGGGACCCTTTCTCTTTCTCTCTGCCTGACTGCATGAAGTGAACAGACCTCCTCTACCATCATGTGCTGCCTCGTCTCAGGCCCAAAACAGAAACCTGAGCATGGACTGAAACCATGAGCCCAAACTAACCTTTTCCCTCATTAAGTTGACTATCACACATATTGTGTCATAATCGAAAGCTGTCACACAGTTACCCAGTTAATAAGTGGTAGAATAGGATGTCAACACATTATCTCCAGAGACCATGCTCTTAACCACCACTGCCTCTGTCAACGTGATATGTCTCCAGTGATGGCACTGAATTAGGGTGCAGCTAAGCCAAAAGATGAGAAAATCCAAAATTCTTGTGCATTGAAAAGTATCGCATAATTCTTTTGCAGTCATTTTTTCCTTCCTGGAAATGATTTGCTGAGGCAGACACATTATTTATTGTTTATTATCCATTATTTCGCAGTTCCACCTGATGAGGGAGCTCAGCAAATCAGAAGCTCAGCCTCTGGTCCTGGGCGTACTGGTTTGTTTTTCCAAGGCTGTGACAAAACACTCTGACCACTACCATCTTAGGAAAGAAAGGGTTTATGTGGCTTACATCTCCCAGGTCACAGTTCATCAAGGAGCCCAAGGTAGGAACTCAGGGCAGGAACCTGGAGGCAGGAGCTGGAGCACAGGCCGTGGAGGAGTGCTGCTTATTGGCTTGCTCCCCTGGCCCCTGCTCAGCCTGCTTTTTTATGCAACACAGGCCCACCTGCCCAGGGGTGGCACCACCCACAATGGGCTGGGCCCTCCCACATCACTCAATAATCAAGAAGATGGCCAGAGACCAGTCCAATGGAAGAATTCCCCAAGTGAGGCTCCCACTACCCAGATGTGTCAAGTTAACACTAAAGCTATCCAGCTCAGGGGGCCACACCCAACCTCCCCTAGCTTGGCTAGAACAGACTCTGAATTCATCCCCAGAGGCTGGGAATTTGAAAGGGAAGCCCACTGAGTGTGTAGGTTTGGGGTGGCAAGAGAAAGCCGCATTCAAGCTGTGCCAAAACCATCTTTTCTGCATGCATCACCTTACTGGTTCTGAGGAATTAGGCAGGGAAGAGGTTTGATTTGCCATTCTAAGAGAGCCAGAAAAAACGCTCTCTAGCCCTAACTTTCCATCTATGAGAAATCCATTCACCAGAGAAAGAATTGGTGTTAAGTATAAACTGGCCTTGGTTGAACAGATTTTATAAAAGGAAAGGCCCATCATTTCCTTCTGTTATTTCTCCAAGCCCCAATTACAGTGACTTCCAGAAAATGAAAAGTAGGATAAAACGGGTGTGTGTGTGTGTGTGTGTGTGTGTGTGTGTGTGTGTGTGTGTGTAAGAGATAACACCAACCTCTTATACTCCAGAGAATATAAAAAAAAATACCCTTCCCAGGCCCTATACGTGGACTTGGCCAGGTGTCTCCCTTGGACAACCTATTTACCAAAGTGATGGATGTGGGTTTTGTTTCTGGAACTGGTGTGGGGCAGATAGAAGGTCATGTTGTTGAAATGGTGGAAGGAAGGAAAAAACCAACAAAGGGAACTGAGACCTGGAAGCTGGATGTGAAGCGATCTTCAAGGTCCAGACAGGAGGACTGATGGGCCATGGGACAGAGGGATGGAAATGATGGTCTATAGTCAGGGGGAAAAGCTGTCTTTAAAGGGACTCTCCACCATCCTGGAGTTGCTCTGAGCCCTCTGCATTCTAACTGTGCCTGTGTCTACCAGCACTGGGTCCAAAGAGGCCCCTGGCACCAAGGGAAGTGACTGATTGCTGCAGCCAGTGACTTCCACAAGGTTGTTTACCAGAGTTCAGAGAGGTCAATCAAAAACTCCAGCAGCACAGCCTGAGGAGGACAACGATGAGGTGTGATTAATCTCAACCAGTCCCAATGGTGTGTAGCTCTGGCTAGGGGAGCTGTGATTGAGGATCATTTCTGTTTACACATAAAAGAAATCCAAGAGAAGGAGCAACCAGAGATATGCAGTCTGGAGGTTGACAGAGTCCCTTTAAATTTCAGCCTCTCCCCCTGGCGCGGACCAGCAGATTAATCACGCGTGTATATCTGCTTTTCAACATGTAGCCTGGTCTTTCCCTTTCTTCCTCCTCTTTCCTCCCTCAGAGGCACTGCAGCCGTGGCCAATTGACCCATTTTGTTTCAGGTCTTTGGTGGATGAAGCTATTTCAACTCCTCTTTCTTCCTTGAACCCTGCAATTCCCACCCTCCTGTCCCTCCTCCTGTGCCTCCTCCTGTCCCTCCTCCTGTCCCTCAGTAACAGTTGGTTGCCACATTTTCTAGGTTGGTGCTGAGCATCCTTCAGTTCTGCCCTTGTTCCTGTTCCTCTCCTGTCTTCTTTGACCTCTCTTCTGTTTTCTTCTGAAATAGCTCTAGCCCCAAACACAGTCTTCACATGTAGATAATCCGCAGCATTTTGCAAAATCCAGTTTTAAAGCATACACGTAGGTAGAGTTCGTTTGGGATCTTCATTGCTGCCCTCCCTTCCCCTAAATCCGTGTTCTTTCTCTTTCTACCATGTGAATGGTACCTGAGAGGGGATTGGCTATTTCCTGTTTAGAGTATGCTTGACTTAACTGGGAGAGAGAAGTCCCTGACTGCCTCAAAGGCTCAGAGATATTCAGGGCATTGCTCCAGAAAGCCAGCAAAGGAGCTATGGCTCAGGCTCACCCTCATCTGACCTGTAACCTGGCAGCCTCACCCCAGTCTGGCTGCCCAAAGCCTCCAGGGCAGTGTAGGTTTTCTTAGGGCAGAAATGCATGGGAACTAAGAGTCCCTTTCCCCCATGGCCTGACCTCCTGCTCTAAGAATAACAGCCCTAGGACAGCCTGAATTGCAGTTGGAAAGGGAGCTGGCTGGGCAGTGCAGCAGTTAAGGGAGCAGGCCAGAGCCTGGAGGACATAGGAGAACAGGAGCTTGGCTCTTGTGAGTGAAAAGAGCAAAGCAGTCCTGGCAGGCAGCCTTTGACAGCACCAGGGAAGGAGCTAAGAATCTCCCTCAAGTGTCCCTCCTGCCTCCAAAGCCTTCCATCTCCTGCAAGCCTGGAGAATGGAAGCAGTAGCCCTGATGGGCCGGCATGAACAGCTCTGGCTTGTCCCTTATGCAGAGCATTCCCTGGGAAACAAAAGGAGCAAACATCATTTTTTTAAGAAAACCTACCTTCTTGGTCCTCAGTCCTCCACCCTCTATCATGAAGCACATGACTGCCCCTGTTAGTGGGGTTTGCTAATCTATGACTCTGTGGTCTATAGGCTCATGGAAAATACCTCCCAGAGTCGTGCCCCCCCCCCCGGCTCTTTGTAAAGCATCTGCCTGTTGAGGCATCCTGAACCCTCTAGGCATCCTGGACAGTGGGCCAAACCATTGCTCACATACTTAAAAAAAAGTCTTTCATAAATCCCTCTTCCAAATAAGATATCAAACAAATGAAACCCATGTGTGTGGGCTACATATGGTAAAGTGGGGTCACTGGTCTTTCCTCTGTGCCTGACCCTCTCCTCCAAGGCTCTGCTGCCTTTACGCCCTCTCTAAGAAGGCAGTTGCCCCACCACCAATCATTCCCTTATCACCAAGCCTGTGCCCAGGGAAGTCCTTGGCAACTCCTCTCACTTTTGGTAGCATTTGCATTTCACTGAGACGACATCAAAGAGCCTAGGCTGCATTTCACTGAGACTTGACATCAAAGAGCCTAGGGAGGTACTTAAGAGACACCCTTGAGGGCACCCCCTCCCCAGAGGCTCGTCAGACTAGGAGACCCTTCTATCCCATTATGAAAGCCTTTGCAGGAAGACTGCCCTGAGACATTTGGGCGTGTCCAGTGAAGGGAAGAAGCTAAGCCAGATTCCATCTGCAGCGTCCAGTGTACTGTGGACACTGCATCAGTGAATTGGTCCTTTGGTTGTCTCTGAGCTAGACCCTCTATCAACCACAAGACCACAGCCACTGACTGTCAAGGGTCTGCTCCTGCGTCTCTCCCTCTGGAGAGACTCTTCTAATGGAGAGAACTGGGGCTGTAGGAGATGGGACATCCACAGAAAGAGTCAGGCCATGGCCCTGCACCACTGTGTCCTACTCACTTGGCCCTGTACTCTTGCCCACTTCTGCCTTGTGGGAAGTGAAAGGAGCCTCTACGGAGGAGGCTGAGAAAGTGAGAGGGACCTGTAGGATGAGGACCCTGCGACCCAGGCAAGGCAGGGCAGGCGGGTTGAATTGGATGCCTCTCTGCCGCTCCTAACCCAACCAGTCTCCTGATCAGGGTGATGTTTGGAGCACCCAGCAGCCACACTCAGGTGCCTGGACAATGATTCTAATGGTGACGTTGCTCTGTTCTTGTCTGTCTAATACTCCTTTTTAATCCCCATCCTGCCTGCCCCTCCCTCATGTAGGGTTACTTTAGTGATCCCTGGAATGTTTTTGACTTCCTCATCGTGATTGGGAGCATAATTGATGTCATTCTCAGTGAGACTAATGTGAGTATCACTCTGCCCTCCCCAGGGAACTCCATCCTTGCATCTCTCTGCCTCCTCCACTCCTCCCTCTTTCTCTTTCACTCTTTCTTTACCTCTTTTTATGTTGTTGTTTTTTTAATTTCCTGATTTTACCCACCTCCAGTCATGCTTTTTATTGAACCTGCCGTCGTCTTGTGGGGGAAAAAAAGCGGGAGCTTGTCCTCCCTTTTTTTCCCACTGGTCCTGGCTGCGCTGGGCCCAAGGGCGCAGAGCTGAGCAGAGGGAGCAGGCTGCGCGGTTGGGCCAGCGCTGGCTGCCACCCACCCACCTCGGAACTAACCTAGCTTTTGTCAGACCTCTCCACCCTGCAAAAACCAGGTTGCCCAGGTTTGAGCCGCCAGAACTGTAGAGTGGTAAGAGAGTGTTTAATATACCCACGTAACCTCTTTCTTTTCTCATTTTTTTCTCTTCCCTCCTTTCTTTCATGTCTTTTTTGGTTCATTCTCCCTCCTCCCTTTGTTTTCTCTTTTGTTGGTTTGTCTCCCCTCCCCCCTTCTCTCTTTCCTGGCTTTTCTGCCCCATGCAGCACTATTTCTGTGATGCATGGAATACATTTGACGCCTTGATTGTTGTGGGTAGCATTGTTGATAAAGCAATCACCAAGGTACACGTAAGTACATGGCGTCTGTGACCCAGCTGGCCCTGCCTGCTCTAACCGCCATCTGTCTCCTGGCTTTATTTTTGTCTTTCGTTTTTATTTTCTCTGCCCCCACTTCCTTATTTTCATTTCATTTTTTATTTGTTTAAATTGGTTTAAAGGATTTTTTTTCTTACTGCTTCATTTGGAGGGTTTTTTTTGTTTTTTTTTTTAATTTTTGGAACGCATTAAGACCTCCTTTTAAGTATTGGTTGCCGCATCTTTTTCTCTCTCCTTTATAATCAGCCTGGCATGACTCACACTGTATAGGAGGGTGCAGCTATGTGAATGATGGAGTGAGAAAATGAAGGGTTCTTTACAACTTCTGGGCAACTACCGGGACTGGAACCCAAATCTTCTCTAACCCAGAACTTCATCTGTAGGCACTGCTTTTCCTCTTGTTTTTCTGTCCCTGTAACATCTTGAAAAGGTGTGCTCTCAAAGCAGAGCACCCCAAGTTGAGGCTACAGCTTTGCCTGTATTGTCAGCCGTAGCCTACCCTCTCCTGTTGAACAGGTTCTGTTTCTACTGAGCATCATCAGCCTGTGCGGACAGCTGGCCCCCATTCAGGACATTGGGGGAAGAAAAGTACTGATTGAGTTTGGATATTTGCTTGTCCTCCCTTCTCTGGAAACAATTAAGAGCCTGCTGGCTAGGTGATTTACTGAGAACTCTTCTAAGTGGGTTCTTCTCATTGCCATGAAAATAATATCCATGTAGTGCCTCCTACCCAGAGAATGGACTGTGCACCTGCCTGGCCTCCCTGGCCTCTCCTTTATAACCTGCCCCTGGCTCACTGGCCTCAGGCAGACCCCACAGCCGTGGCCCCCTGTGCCCTCTCCTCCCCAGAGCTGCCTCCTTCTATATAGTTCCTTCCAGTTCCTGCACATCTCTTCTTGTTACCTGGCATGTTTAAATCTTCTCTCTTTATCTATAGGCAAATCCTCTTGCAGTTAGTCCTTAACATGTATTGTTTGATTTTTGTCATTATTTTTCATAATCAGAAGACTTGATAATGTTTGCATAAACCTTTGATGCACAGACCCATTAAATAACAACATGGAGCAGGTGATTTTGAGTTTAGATCTAAGACACTTGAAACTAAATTGCCATCCTCCAAGCATCCCACCACCTCCATGCATACTGGCCCATTCCCAGGACATTGAACTGACATGCTCTTGCACTGACTTGACTCTCCCCTATGTGACCACTGGGCTTAGGAAAGAGGCTTCCCACACATCCCTTTCCATGACCCCTTGCCCACCTCCTTGCTTATTCTGTAACTCCAGCCTCAGATGTTCCTCTGTCTCCAAGAACTTTGAGTTATCTTTGTCTCATTGTGTGTGTGTGTGTGTGTGTGTCTGTCTGTCTGTCTGTCTGTTCTGCACATGCCTGTGTACCCATGTGCATGCATGTACACCCTCAGGTTTGACTCCTTCTGGTAAACCTTTGGATGATTAAAAAAAAAAAATCAGTCTTCCACAACTGCTCTGAGCTTCCTTTCTGAGTAGACTCCCAGTTTTGCAGTCTGTGTAAGCCCTAAGTTACAGTCTTGTTATTTAAGTCCAAAATTTTAAAGGCCAGAGCTCTATGCTTAGCATAGGTGCCATGCACAGCTCTCCCCTGAGGGTACTGTGGGGAGGGCGGCTTTGTCATCTGTATGCAGACAGCAGTGCAGATTTACATGGAAATCTCTGCAGTGCCCTATGCTAGAAAAACACAGGGAGGACAGGCAGCTGCTTCCCAAGAAGAAGCCCCGTGGCAGTCCTGGGGGCTCCGCAGGCCTTCTTTTACTGCTGGCAAAACCCATGGCTCTCATCCTACCATGCTGTCTCTATGTTTTCAAAAGAAAAACAAAGACAAAGCAAATATACGTTTCCTTATATATAATATATGTATGTATATAGATGTGTATGTGTGCTCACATAACATCATCTATTTAAGTCCTTTGTAAACTGTAAAGTGCTGTGGCATCCAAGCAAATGATTCTCAAACCCCCTTTGTCTAGCTAGACCATCTTCTTGGTCTGCCTATAACTTATAGCCCACAGACACCAAGAGTGCCCTTATAAGGGCTAGAGAGATGACTCGGTGGTTAAGATCACTGGCTGCTCTTGCAGAGGACCTGCGTTCTGTTTCCAGCACCTCACATGGTGGCTAACAACCATCTGTAACTCCAGTTACAGGGGATCCCATGCCCTTTTTCTGACCTCCGTGGACACTGTACAGGTGCACTTACATACATGCAAGGAATACACCCATACACATAAAACAAATTTAGAAATTTTTAAATTGTTATTAAAAAAAAAAAAGAGTGCCCTTATTTCCGACTGATATTAATTAGACTCATGGAGATGATGAGCAAGTATATCCAGATCAGAGCAAGTAAGGGCCTTCAACCACCACCATAGCTGTGGAGCCTTAGCAGGCCCATGTCCACAGCGTGGTACCAGTGAACCCTGCACTCAGAAAGCAGCCAGTAGAATAACAGCAAGATAAGAATGCCTTCCTCCATGGAAAAAGTGTAAGAGCCAGAGGTGGTGGATGACCACAGGGAAATGGTTTTACAGACAGCTGGTCAGTTACTCATATGAACTCACAGCAATGGTGACAGCATGGACGAGACCCATGCAAGCTCAAACCAGTCAAAATCCCAGCATAGATGTGGGGATGGAGGTAACAAACCCCAACCCTGTCTAAGGAACTAGTAGTAACCAATGGCTACTGGGAGAGGGAGAGATAGTCCAGTTTAAGGGTGAGAATCTTGGTAGGATAATCAGGCTCCAGGGGATGAACCCATACCAAAGGGCATTTGGGGATGTAAATTTGACTCTCTAGGCCTATATTCGAGTACATGAAATTGGACAGGGGTTAGTAAGGAGGAGGGTTGCAGATAGGGGAGGGGAATCTAAATACAAGAAAAATGTATGAAATTAGAAAAAATTCAATTTAAAAACTCCCTCCTCCACATGACTCTGCCTCTAGGTTATGAGTTCTTACAAGGTTAGCTCCAAGATTTTCTTAAGATCCCAAGGGAAAATTCAGGAAATCCTGCATCTGTAACTCCTGCTCCAGGCCATCCCAGGTATTTTGAGACATAATACCATCACAAGACACAGGTTTTAAGACCTGTGTTCTGTTCGGAAGCCACCCATGAGGGCTTTGCTCCAGTAACCCATCCTCCCAGCCCCCTTTAAACCTCAGGAACATGGCTCTTGTCCTTGCACCAGATGGCTCATTCACCCTAACAACATTATAAGCATTCTTCATGTTTAAATTCACCTCCCCTTTCTTCCTGGCCTTTCCTAGATGAAGTGCCTCCCCCCTGGGAAATGTATTTCTCACCATCGCAGGAGTCATCATCCACTCATCCTGCCCTTCATAGTTTCCTTCTAGGCGTCGATGTTTCGTTAGCCACCTGCATGCATGGGCTTGCATTCTAGAAGGAAAGCAGTAAGTACAGAAAATAAGGAAGTTATACAGTGTGTTACAAGTGCATTAGAATGGAGGACTGCATCCAGTAATAAGGATCAGTAAAGGCAAGTGCTGTTTGAAGCAAGGCGGACTTTCTAAAAGAAATAATGTTCGAACAAAGTGAAAATGAAGCATGAGAGGAGTTATCCACACAGATGTCTGGGAAAACTTTAAAGCCCAAGACTGTGGGTGGCCTCTGTGGCCGGTGTAGACCAAGCAAGGGGCAAGGGAAGGGGGAGTTTCAGACAGACAATGGTCCAGGTTTAAGCCCCTCTTCTGAGCAAGAACAGGATACATTAATGCCTTTGAGCACAGGCGTCTTGTGATCTGAAAGGGCTTTTACAGGATCTGTCGGGGTGTCTAGGGAAGTCAAAGGCAGAAACCTTCATTTACAAGGCAAGTGCACTAACCCAAGTGGGAATGATGTGCCAGCAATAGAAATGTTTGGAAAACCATCAATTATGGATCTGTTTTGAAAGTAGAACTAACAGTATTTCTTGGTACCCTGGATATGGGTGTGCGAGGATAGGTTCTCAAGAGGGCTACTATAGTTTGATCTCAGAAATGGAAGGAAGGATGGAGTTGGTCCAATCTGGGGAAGACTGGAGGTGGAATATATGTGGCCAAGGGCAAGAAGGGGCTTATCCGTGATGTGTCAGACTCCTGAACACCAATCTGAGAATCAGTATTGGAGTCAACAGCAAGTAGATACACTCATATCATGATGCAGGGGAACAGCACCAAAGAACGAAGCAGGTAGAGGCATGGAGAGGGCTGGTCAGGGTCATCTGGCATGAACAGATGGGGACCTTTCTGTCCTCAGAAACTTTATGTTTAAATTTCTATTCATCCTGAATTTTGAACTCTGAAAATTCAGAGTGCATCCTCCAAACAGCTGCAGGATGGTCACAAGTACCACTTTAAGTGCCCACTGAGTCTTGTAAGGCTGTCTGAGACCCAGGCCTCTGCCCTTCTCCCTAACACATCACCTCATCTAAATCTGGCCTAGCCTTCTTTGTGAGCCCTGTAGGGTTACACACATAGGAAGTAGCACCCTTGCACTCTCATGGAGCCTCTGTTCTCCAGTCCTTGAGTATGAAATCATACATTCCAGAAGGAGACCCATAGTTCTTCATGAAAGTGCTGATAGCGGCCCTGATACCTCAGATGGGAATCAATTTAGGGATGTGAGTCAACAGCCTTTCTGAACAGTTTTCATTATGCCTTTCAAAGTATTTTGAATAATGAGAATTACTAGGAGACCTTGTTTCCTACCTGATAGGTATAGAGAGGCATTTTCAAGGTATACCTGAGGAAATGTTTCCAGCCCAGGCCCCAGGAAACCAGCTGCCTAAGAGCAATTATCTCAGTTCCCTGGGCCTCAGTTTCTTTGACTGTTATAAGAGCTGTGTGGTGAGGAATGAGACTCTTAACTCCTGACCTCTGTGGTTCCAAAGTAGACATTTTCTGAGAGCTTGAGGTAGATTTGTTCCTTTCCTAAAGCTCCAGGCTCCTCATTGCACTGGGCTCTCTGGACTCTGGTGGCTTATGTAGGGACTGTACAGAGGCAGGGGCAGGAGAGAGAGCTTCAGAGAGGGCCACAGGCACTGTGATGGTGGGCAGGGGAGAACACCGACCTTGAAGGAGTTCTAGGCAAATATAGAGAAGGAAATGTGGAAAATTACTAGGTGCAAGGTGTGGACCACAGAAGTGACCAGAGGAGAAAATGTAAACCAAGCATTGATGGCAATAGCTGTGACCTTGGCTGGTTAGGAGGAAGAGGAGGAAGGGACAATGTGAGAGCGAGTCCTTGAGTATGCCAGTCATGTGACTGAATCAAGTCCTCAGAGGACCGACTGGCCCTGCACATATGAAATCTAGGCATAGACAAGGCAGACTATCTGCCCAGCATCATACAGTTAACTGATCGGATCAAGTACTCTTGTATCCATAGAACCCTTCGGCTCTATCCACGTACTGAACTGGCCTCAGCATGCTTATCGCCCAAATGCAGGGACTGGTGACTTCTGCCACTCCTGGGCCTTCATCTGGTGCCTGCCTACCTGTGGCTGACCTACTCAGAACTGCTTACCAACTTCCCATCTCAGTGCTAGGCCAAGGGAGGCTGGGATACTCTTGGAATGCTCACCTAGAGCATTCTATGTGAGGACTGCACAGGAGCAGGGCCAGGAGAAAGCACTTCAAGGCGATCCCCAGGCACTGAGATGGACTGCATCCCACACCCACGATCCAAATCAACAGGGCCAAGGGACTAGGACAGAGAAAACAAAAGATGGCACACCGTCCCTTGCCTGGGTGACGTGCAGTCTGAGAGCGTGAAGCAAAGGGTGCAAGGTCCAGGAACAGTGCAGGGATGCTGGGGTCAGCTCCGGAAGTCACGTTAAGGTGCTGGCCCCAGATCTTCTTTTCCATCATCCCTGACACCTTTCCACCTCAGTATCTTTTCACCATAAGACCACAACTTCCAGTTATTAATCGTTTCTTACTGCCTCCCCAATAATGAAGCCCATTGGCTCCTTTCCTGGCTCCAGTTTCAGCAACAATGCCAAAAGGCAGCCAGTCCTGGGCATGGAGACTGCTGCTTGCCATGTTCCTAGCCCTGAAAGCATGAGGTACCCACAAAGTAGTAAGCAAGGCAGACATGAGTCTGGGCACTCAAAGCATTTAGCTTGGGACACCACAGACAGCCAGTGTCAGTAGCTCCAAACCTCCTTTATTGTTCACCAAGGGATTTCTGCTTTCAGCCAGGAAGGTATTGAAGACGCAGACGACCACACTAGGTTATCTAGGAAACACCCTCCAGCCTGCCCAGGTTTCTTTCCACACAGAACTCACTCAGTGATTACCTTCTGACTCAGGTATGAGTAGTTTGTGTGATGTTACAGCAACACTAGCCCAGCTAGACAAAGCTTTCTGAATAATATGGCTTTAAGGCTCAAGAAAAAGTTAACCTGTGAGCCTCTCAACTTTCTTTGGAAAGTTGTCATTGCCTGGGCTGGGAAACCTGACATACAGATGTCAGAGAACCCTCATCCCTACTTCTCTTCCCTGAGCTTCTTTGAAATCTCATCTCCTGATGTGCAGACATGACCTGAGGGCCACCAAATGAATGTACAATATTAAAACAATAAAATACTATCAAGATGAATAGACCTAAACCAGATTTCGAAATAAAACATAATTTAAGTAGACGATATGGGAACAACAAAAGGTTAAATAAAAAGCTTCAGGAGGAAAGATTACTAAGATGAATCTTTAAAAATTTCTGGGAGGGATTCTGAGCATTTCAGAGGTAAAATAAACCAGTTAATTTGGTGGGGGGGGTAGGTCTTTTTGAGAAAAAGTCTCACTGTAGTCCCAGCTGGCCTGGAACTCGCTATGTAGACCAGGCTGGCCTTAACCTCACAGAGATCTATCCGCCTCTGCCTCCCAAGTGCTGGAATCAAAGGCATGTGCTACTACACCTGGCTTAGTCAATTCTTTTTTAATGGCTACAGATTGGCTTAGTGAGGCCAGGTAAGCTGGTAAATTTTCTGAATTTTCTCCATTTTGGTCTTACTCAGGATGAGATGGACCCAGAAACCTTCTAAGGGCTTACCCAGAATTCTTGGAAGTTATGGATGGTGGTGATGACTCTTAGGGTGTTCCTAGGAGTGAAGCAACAACCCAGGCCAACCACAGGGCAGGATAAGCCCTGGCATTGCCTGCAGCTCAGCTCACCTCCATGTCACTCTCCCATTCCACCTCCCCAGAGACACAGAACTCTTTACCCAGTAATACATGGGCAAAAGCCCTGGAGCAACCTGGGGGTGGGACAAAATGGTGCACAAAGATACACAGGCCCGACCATCATGACAGATCTCTCCTGCCAGTGGAGAGGGACTTGGATGCTTGGACAAAAATTTTCTGTGTGTGTGAATGTATATGTCTGTCTGTTCATCTGTTCTTGATTGGTATCAGGCCACTAGCCAAATCCTAGTGATCCTATCCCCTCCAGGCACATAGATTGATCTGGAAGTTGGCAGTCCTCATGCAACAGAAACGGAGACACAGAATGTATTCTATAAATGACTGGAAAAGGTCCTTTCTTCCTCTTCCCTCACATCACTCACCCTGTATCTCCACCATTCCCCAAAGGGATATCCTACCAACTTTCTATGGAAATTGTTTTTTAAGTGCTAAGAAATATGTTATCAAGATGTATTTTCAGGCTCAAACCAGTGTCTACTTGTGAACATTTCTGTCCTTCAGAAATTCCACTGCATGTTTCCTTGTTTGTACCTTAAAAACAAACATGGGCAACATCTAAAAGTAGGGGGTGAAGGCTGAGCTTAACAGCTCCAATGGCTGAGATAAGTCAGGAATGAAGGCCGCATACAAGAGCCCAAAGCTGGAGTATCTCCCCAGGAAAAATGCTGGGGAAACAGGGAAAGAAAGGGCCCTTAGGTGCTCCTCTGACCTCCTACCCCTAAGCAAGCTCAGCAGTCCAGCCCAGGAGAACAACTTCTTAAGGTGCTAGGGATAATATCCTAAATTCTATACAGACCTTCAGAATTCAAGAGCAAAAGTACACACTGCTCCATGCCGGTGGCCAAGGGTCCCCACACGCCTAAATACTAAGGAAGGCCAAGTCTAACTGGAGCCTAATCTTTAAGAAAAAGTCCCTTTGGGGGCAGGTTGAAGGCCACCTCCTTTGATCTTTGTTTACTGATAACTAGAATTCAGCCTTCCCTAACCTGAGGGGCTGACATCCTGTGGACAAAGATGGACTCAACGTTTGCTCCTCAGCAGCTTATGGAGCAGACTAAAATGGAGTTAATGAAAGCCCCCAAAGGGTTAGCTTAGAACACAGGCTGACTGAAAACAAAACAATAAGCCACCAAAAATGAGCCTCCAATCACAAACCTAAAGACCTCACCTTCTCATCTGAACTGGGGGTGACTTATGTAATTCATAGACCGAGGTGTTGAACAAGCAGGAAAGGAGAATCCTGTGGATCTTTATTGGCCATGAGGCCCAGTGACACACAGCACATGTCCTCAGCGATGTCCCTCACCCTGCCAGGCCCACGCTTGTGCATTTCTTTCACTTGTTTCCTTATGCCCTCTCCTACCACTGTGTTGTTCCTCTGTTAGCCAAGACCTAGAATACCAGGCCTCTTCGTTGGAGACTCATTACAGCTTATCTCTGTCTGCCTTTCTTTAAAGCCAGCTGAACATACCCAATGCTCTCCCTCTATGGTAAGAACAACCCTCCAGACCACGCTCCCAGCTTTTGTGGCCCCTTTCAGCCACCCACTTCTTATCCACTCCAACTTCCAGAGTCTCTGGGAGCCCAGCCCAGCTCCCATTGCATGTGACCACCATGTCCATTGTGTGCCTTACCTGCCTGTGCTCGCGTGAGCTATGCAAGGGTGTGTGTGCAGTGGTGTTCCTCTGCTTCCCCAAGCTGCCTTTCGGTGGTAGTTCACTGTGATCCACTGGGAGAGAACTGGACCCATGTGTTATTTCCTGTTAAACATCCCAAGGAATCTGAGCTTAATGTAATGTAGGAAATCTGCAAAGGGTCCCTGTGAGAACTGTGATGAGGGCTCCAGGGAGAAGAGGAAAAGGGGGGTGGTCCAGTTAGAAGATGAAAAGGCAGCCAGCTTCCTTCTAATCAGTGCCTATAACTACCAACTGCCCTTGGACTTGTTATGAAAGGCTCTGTGAGAAGCATAAGCTGGCATTCGATATGGCGCAACACTGGACCCCTGGTCACTCTGAGCTAATCCTAACTCTGATATATTTCTAATGACTAAAGTTCATTCCATTGGACTAGAGCCATTTTTCTATAACAGATGGGAAGCAGGAAAACAAAACCAATTGGACCACTCCTGATGTGGGAGTCTCCAATTCCTATTGGCTGAGTGGTAGAGATGCCTCTCCACATGGCCTTGAAGTCTCCTTGGAACAACCTCCTTTAAAAGACTGTATCACACCTTTCAAACCAGGGTGATGATTCTTTGGATACCTGAAGTCTAGACTGAGTGGGTTGTGATGAGCCCCATGGCACCCCACCCTGGCCAAAAGGCTGCCAAGGGAAAGACTGCACCTCTGTACACAGAGATATGGGTCTACCTCATCACTGCATCATCATCAGGGTTCTCTGCCAATGGCTGCATGTTTCTCCTTACAGAGCTGCATTAGGGAACTGTGGCAGCTAAGGAGGGCTAGAGCTCACAGGGCACACTTGGTGGTGATGGGTATTTTTTGTTATTGTTCTTTTTTGTTTGTTTGTTTTAACTCATCAGACCTAGTGACACCAGTTTCTCAAATGCCTGACACCCATAGCTCAAGTTCCCTACTTACAGCAAGAGGAAGGGGATGGGAGGACAAACAACTCAGAGACCCCCTTCCTTCTTTAAGGGTTGTGTGGAATTGGGGGATGGGAGCCGTAACAGGAAACTCCAGGGTCCCTTCTCTCCCAGTGCTGCTGCCAGTGGGGCAGGGAAGGCTGCACTAGCTTGGGGGAAGATGTGTAGGGCTCCAGCCAGCTCTAGGGCTTTCCTGCACAGCCAGTTGCCCATGTGGGCAGGAGGGCCAAGGGGATAGTCAGTTCTTGTTGTTCTCAGGTTTGGAGAAAGCGACATCTAGCTTCCCTCAGAGACCTGTCCAGGCATGTGCCCACACCCTCAAGCTCCTCCAGACTGGGAAGCTGAGGGTGAACCTTTGGCCATAGATTCCCAGCAACCTGGGCATCCTAACCCTACGTCAGCTCCCCTTAGCCTCGGTGCTGCCCCCTTCCCATCCCCTCTGCCCAGGACATTGTACAGGTGCACTAAGTAACCCCCCTTGGTCCTCACTTACCAGACCCAGCCTTTCCTGTACTCACTGCAAGGGATGCCTCTCCTGTCTTGTCCTGATGGCACCCTGACTCCTTCTAGGCTATGGGCCTCTGGGCCATGGGTTGAAGACAGTGGAAGGGCATCAACTCCACAGCCTGCCAGGAGGCATGGAGCTGTGGCTTTCCCAGTATGACGTAGAAGCCCATTGCACTGTTGCCCAGCAGCCATTGGGAAGTGGAAGGTGACAAGAGGTGACTGCTGAGTAGCCAGGACATGCCCAGATGCAACTGCAGACAGCTAGGAGGGGAGCCATCCCTATCCAGCCTCCTTATAGAGAACTGAATACCATTCATGAGGCAGAAGCCCTGACCGAACAGATGGGAGCCGTGGGCTGCCTTCTCCCACTACAGGTGGGCAGGGGGCTCCCAGGAAAGTAGCTTTGAGCCTAGATTCCAAAGCCTGTGATACCTGAAGCGCTAATAATGAAGGGAAAAGAGGAAGGTAGGAAAACAAGGCCATGGGCTCAGAGCTCTAGCTTAGTAGAGACCTTGGGGATAGGCTGCCATCCTAGAAAGGAAGATGCTGACTGTCTACCTTGAAGCAAGGAGTAGGAACCTACAGGAAGAATCTAGTGCAGCTGACCCCACCCTGGCCTGCCTCCTCTCAGCCGAGGGCTGTGTTTCTCAGTGTCCCTTCCTGACCCCCCCCCTTCCTTGCTGTGTTAACTGCACCCCCTATCGCCAATGGCTTCTAGAGTGCAGAGGAGAACTCCCGCATCTCCATCACCTTCTTCCGCCTCTTCCGGGTCATGCGCCTGGTGAAACTGCTGAGCCGCGGAGAAGGCATCCGGACCCTGCTGTGGACCTTCATCAAGTCCTTCCAGGTAGCCATGCCACCTCCCCCATGCAAATCTGGTAGGGAGACAACCTCCACTGATCCCATGAAGAATGACCGAGGGCTCCACCGCCACTGCTCCTATGGCTCCTGGACAGCGGCAGACCAAGAAAGAAGGAGCTCCAGCTTTGATACAGGGCCTGGGGCTGTGCTGAGTAGCTGTGTGTGTATGGCAGCGATGTGATGGTGCCTTACTTTCCTCCTTTGAAGGGCAAGGGTGAGAGTCCCCCTGTGATTCTAAAATCCAGAGCTCAGTGAACCCACACTTTGGGGCTTTGTGAGATGGAACAAATTGGAAAACCCTAGACCGGAATCATCTCTGAACCTCTCTGCTCCATCCAATTTCAGCTTTAAAAAGAAATTGCCACACAAGCATTTCATCTATGTTTTCAGCCCCTGTCAATTATAGCCCTAGCCAAACTCTCAAGGACCCTGGTCACTGAGAACAGTCCCCTCCTAGGGGTACAGGATTGCCTATGTGGTTAATTCCCTTGTCTTAAACATGGTTTTTCTATCTGTAAAAACAGAATTGCTCTTGTCCCTTAAAAACAGAATTGCTCTTTTCCCTGGCCAGTTCCAAGAAGTGTTATGTAAGGGTAAGGTTAATGAGAAGAAAAGGTATTAGGTCACTTGGATTCCTTGGAAATGACTGTAGAAATTCCTGACTGTGCTTCTGAGACACCACACAAAAGCCAGCTTCTCTCCTCCCACGTGAATCCCACTGATAGACTTCCTTAGTTGCTGAAGGGTAACCTTTCACATCCCCTACCCTGGCCAGTCCAGGCTCAGATAAGACATGGTCTGTCTCCGTCCAGATAAGCCCATAGTTGTGGTTGTACCTGGAGGACAGTTGTCTTGTGGTGCCTTGCCTGCCCTGTTTGGATTCCCCTCTCAAAGTCACGGTCCTCTGAGCAGGGCCATCCAAAGCTCTCTGATGGATGATCATCAAGGTCCAGCCAGGCTGCACACACAGCCAGTGCTCCTTCAGCCATGCCCCACCTGACTGACCCCTCTAGCCTTAATGAGAAGCTGGGGCTCCCCACCTAAGATCCTTCTCAGCCCCACATGAAGGGGGCCTTATAGGGATTTGAATCCTTATTCAAACGGGATCAGGATGGGAGGCAGATCCTACCCCGGTCCCTGTGGCACCCCAACATTTCCTTGTAATAGGAAGTGACTGGGGTGATCTTGAGGAATGGGACTTGAGCTAGGGTGCCCACCAGTCATTAAAAAGTTGTGTGTCCCTCAGTGCCATCTAGTGGTGTCTGGGTAGCATATTTCCTTAGCCAGCATGCCAGGTTCCCCTCATGCCACAAACTGTGTTAAGATCCACAATACCACCTCAGAAGTGGCCATGGCTCTGCTGAGTGCATAATATACAGAGTGAGTAAAATGCATGGATGGAACCCAATTATGTGCCAGGTACTGTGTTATACATTTCATAAGCCTTAAATCGCTTAAATGCCACAACCCCCCTGTGAGATCATTTGTTTCATTCCTCATCATTCAGATCAGGAAACCAAGAGTCAGAGGAGTTAAGTAACATGCCCAAGCTCCCAAAGCTACAAGGTGGGAGGAAGAGAATGTGAGCCCGGGAATGATTTTATGTTTTTCCTTATTACCTATTTCCATAGCTCATCTCTATGAAAGTAAACTGTGTAAAGATAGAGTATAAGCTTCCTCCACCCTACTCTTTCCTGGTGACAACGGTCATCTTGGTATGCATCCTCCTTCACTCTCCTTCTTTGTGTAAATATACACATGTGGTCTGAGGAGGTCTGCTCCTTGATGGTTCTCACTAAACAAGTGCTACTTCTTTACCTTGAAGTCTGCCTTAAAAACCAAGCTGAGGGTTGGACTGACTGGGGCTCAGTGTCGGGGGCCCTGAGCTCCATTCTCATCATAACAATCAATCAGTCAATTCCTAAACTGAGAAGCCAGTACCCATTTCATAGGCTCTCTCCCTAGTGCTGGGCTCTCCCTAAGCCAGGTAGCAGCTGATGGCTGCAGAACTGGGAATACAATGCTTTCTGAGAGAGGACCCTGCCAGCCTGTAGCCCTGGGTCTCATGCTCCCTCTATGCTTCCTTCTAGGCCCTGCCCTATGTGGCCCTTCTGATTGTGATGCTGTTCTTTATCTATGCAGTGATTGGGATGCAGGTAAGAGAAGCTCTCCCTCTGATCTCCTTTGCCTCCTCCTGTCTCCTGCCTGTCCCTCAAGGGTCCAAAGAGCTGGAACTTCCCCATAGGACAGGATGTAGGTTATGGGCAAGACATAGGTCAAACGGTCCCTCCTTCACCTTTGTGCAGTACCAAGCCTTGGTTCTGTAGTGGGAAAACACTCCAGAATCAGCAGTGGACCTCAGAAGAGAACATCTCAGAGACAGCAGGAAATGGGTGTGTCCCACCAGTGTCCTCTGTTTTTTCTATATCTGATGTGCTTGATTTGGAATGAGGAGAGGATAGAAAGCTCTGGCCATCAAACATGCAGTAATTTTCAGGGTCTCCCCTTCCCACGGGCCTGCTGCACGCTCTCTGTTCCCACACCCAGAGCTCTTCAGCCTCTTAGGGCTCCAGCGGAGTTTTCCCCGGTTCCATGGGGCAGCACCTCCCTAGCCTGGCCTGCACACTAACCAGGACCTTTCCTTTAGCAGCTCCCTAAGTAAAAATCTACAAAAGTTCCTGGGAAAAATATTTTGAACTTTAAAACATTTTATTATTTTTATTTTATGTGTATTCGTGTATTGCCTGCATGTATGTAAGTGCACCCATGTCGTGCAATGCCCACAGAGGTCAGAGGAGGGCACTGGATCCCCTGGAACTGGAGTTACATATGGTTGTTAGCCACCATGTAGGTGCTAGGAGCCGAACCCGGGTCCTCTGCAAGAGCAGCTAGTATTCTTAACCACTGAACCATCTCTTCATCCATCCTGCACCCCACCTGCCAAAAAATTATTTGGACATCAGATACAGGGAGGCAGCTTTGGCAGCTTATAAGATAAGGTCTAGAGGGCCAGGGAAAAACATCAGGAGGGCTCTGATGTCAGGGATGAATTAAGCTTGACCAAGCTCTGGATCATGCATTCTTTATGACTGCAAAATCCAAGAGCCACCTGCTCAGATATAGAGCTGAAATGACAAAGGGGAGAAAGCAGTGAGCCCTGGTCCCCACACTGAGCATTCCAGTCTCAGCATCCGTTCAACCATCCTCAGCCCCAGCCTTACCTGTGCTGGGAGACCTTTCCTGAGAGCTGAGGGCACATTTCTCTCTAACCATGCCCATGGTGGGCCTGAAGATCCTGGGATCATGGGACAGAAGGTGTCTGCTGGGTCACGTTAAGAGACTGTTTGGCCAGCTAGTCCCAGAGTTACTGCAATCAGAGACACTATTAATGGCCAGAGATGAACACTCTCTCCTCTGGTTCCTGACTTCTTCTTTCTCCAGGTGTTTGGGAAGATTTCCCTGAATGACACCACAGAGATCAATCAGAACAACAACTTCCAGACCTTCCCTCAAGCTGTGCTACTGCTCTTCAGGTGGGTCTCTGAGGACACAGGTGCACAGAGACACACCTATGGATGATAGCCCCATGGCTGAGAAAGGACTCGAATGGGCCTCCTCTCCCATTCTGGCTCAGGAAGTCTCATTGTCATTTACATCAACTTTCCATGTGCAGCCTATTAGGCATTAGAGAACCCCCACCATTAGAGAATCAAAGTTAAATATCAAAAGCATCATGGCTTGGCCTCTGAACCTGCTCAATGGCAAGCCTCGAGCCTCAGCACACTGACCCTGAGCAGCCTAATTGACCTCCTCAGAGCATTTCATTCCTCATAAACTAACATTGTGTTGATCACAATGTCAAGGTGTGCCATCTGCTGTGTTGGGGATGGATGTTCATTTTCATCTGGTTTTGTCTTCAATGAAGCCATCCTTGGGACTCCATACTTTCTAGAAGTCATCTACCTCAGGGGTGGCTAAGAAGGTGGTGTTTCCCATACCGCCTCAAGATAATCCCTTATACAACCATCTTCTTTACCTCTTGGCTCATGATAAGGACCCCCTTATACACCTCCATCTTCTCACTTTGATCCTTAGCACAGCCTCACGCTCTGAGATCCCATCTAGTCCTAGACTGGTAGAGGAAAATATTTCTCTTGTCCCTAAAGCAAAGGATTTCTAAAGCTTGTGCTAGCTCATAAAGTCTTTTTCAAAGATTTATTTATTTTATGTGTACAAGTGTTTTGCCTGTATGTGAAGTGTTCCTGTGTCATGTAATGCCCATGGAGGTCACAAGAGGACATCAGATTCCCCTGTAACTGGAGTTATAGATGGTTGTGAGCTGCCATGTGGGTGCTGGGAACTGAACATGGGCTCTCTGGAAGAGTAGCTAGTGCTTTTAACCACCAAGTCATCTCTATCCATTCTGTTCCTAGGAGAGGCAACAAACACTTTCCTATTGTTTGATCCCTTTCCAGTGGGTATGAAGACTCTCTGTCAGACAACCCCACCTTCACCATCTCCTGCAGAACCTGTCCCCAAGCCCAAGTTCATTACTGCTCAACATTTATCAAAATGGTATCATTAGGACTTCCTAAATATCAGCCTGACATCATTGCCTCCCAGATTACAAGCCATTATAAGCTATTTCCTAATAATACACAAGCCTATGTCACACTTAAATGTAGGAGGTAGTTACAGACCTCAGATAGGCCACAAGGATGATCTTCTCTTCTTTGCTAAAGTTCTTAATGACAAAAGAAATATTTTTTCCATAACACTGCTAAAGATGGAAAAGAAAAATATGGAAGAGTGCTACAGATGAACCAGAAATGTTGAGGAATTCCTAAAAGGAAGAAAGAAGATGGGATTCAATTCACAAAATGTGAGACTTGAGAAGAGCAGGCTTCTAGACAGTTTGAGACAACAGAGGATGTGAGCACAGCCCGGAGCCTCTCCAAGCTAAGTGTCGACAGACATAAAGCACAGGAACACTCTGGTTCTTCCTTGGATACTTGCATTTGACAGGAGCTTCCCTGTGCTCATAAGCTAGTTGCAGCAGCACTGGACATCTTACCCTTGGGCTTTGGGGTCTGAAAGACAACAGGCCACTCAGTCTCAGGGAGCCTGCCTTCCTAGAGAAGCTACTCACCCAGCCTACTCAGCACATCTTGTCTTTGGACCATAAACCTCAGAGAGGGTCCTCTGATAAGAACCTTACTTAGATCTGAACTAGATTCTCAGTTGCAAAAAACAATTGATAGTAATCTAAAAATATTTGAGGAGACCAACACCAAGAAGCAGAGATGTTACACTCAGCCCACAAATGAACACACAGGAAAGAGAAGGAACAGATCTAAAAGATCTGAAAGCAAATGCAGTCCATACTGTTTGGGTGACAAAGACCATAAACATCTGTTAAATTAGAAGTCATGACAGCCATTATTAAACAGCAAAGTAGGGAGAGAAACATACAAAGGTTAAGTATGTTGTATTAGTCACTTTTCTGCTGCTGTGATAAAACACTGACCAAAGCGACTTATAAAAGGGAGTGTTTGAGTTTATGGTTCCATAGGTAAGAGTTCATAAGGCACAGGAGGCATGATAGCAAAGGTGACTGGAACAGAAAGCCCAGCAATCACATCTTCAAGCAGGCACAGAATGCCGGGAGAGACTGGAAACCCGGCAAGGTTTATGAACTCTCAAAACCTGCCCCCAGTGAGGTACTTCTTCCAACAAGGCCACACCTCTTAAAGCCGCCCAAAACAGTACCACCAACTGGGACAAAAGGTCCAAATGGAGTCTATGGGGGACATTTTCATTCAAACCACCACAGGAGTATAACAGAAAAGACACAACTAAAGAACGAATTAATGAGCTGAGGATCCATAAAGGGTCCTCATACAACCAAAGAACCAAGAGACACAAATTATGAAGTAAAGAAGGACATGAAGAGTGGAGCTAGAAAAGTCTAACGTGTGTGGTAAAAGTTCTAGACAGGAAGAACAGACAAAATGGAAAAAGGATGATCAAATAAAATTTCAAAAAAAAAAAAAAAGATATGCCTTCAGAGTGAAATGGCCTACAAAGTGCAGCATGGGTTAATAAAAAAAATCTTCACCTTACCAGGCGTGGTGGCTCATGCCTGTAATCTCAAAACTTAGGAGACTGAAGCAGGATGATCATGAATTCAAGGCTGGTTTGGGTTACATTATGAGACCCTGTCTCAACCCGATTCCCAAAGATCCTTAATCATGCATATTATGGTCACTTTTTAGAATACCAATAAAAACATCCTAAAAGTTTCCAATGTGGAATAACTAAAAAAAAAAAAAAAAAAAGTCAAAGAGGAGGAAATACTTCCAAGGTGCTTTTTTGACACCAGCCATTCAAAGACACTGCAAGAAAAGAAAACTATATCCCAAATGAACACTGATGCAAAAATTCTCAACAGAATGCTAGCAAACGGCATTGAACTGTACATTGAAAGCATCATTCAACATGAGCAGGTGGGATTTGAACCTGGGATGCAAGTGTGGTTGGCCCAACAGATACAGTTCAAGAAGTGTGACAGAGCCCATGCAGAATGAAGGACAAAACCATGGTACTTTCTGAGTACTGTGTAACTCGGTGCTGTGTAACTAGGGGTAAAGTGTGCATAAACATGTTTGCTAAATGTTTAAAGGTCAATCATTCTAGAAATAGGAATCGAATGTCTGTATTCCGAGCACAGGAGGAGGCTACATATGTAACTCCTCACTGATACAGTGCTTGTTTAGCACACACAAGGCCCTGGGTTGGATTCCCAGCACTGCGTAAATGCAAACCATTAGAAGGAAAAAGTAGACAAGGAAAACTTGATCAATACGTCATAAGGAAGGGCAAAAGACTAGCAAACAGGTAATTAAATAAGGAGAATAAAATAAGAATGCAGAAGGAAATATGAACAAACATACTGATAAGCTTGTTACATTTCTCCATTGAAAAATCAAGCAAAAATCAGGCCAACAAGATGGCTCAGCAGGTAAAAGAGCTTACTGCAAACCCTGACCACCTGAGTTTGGTCCCAGGACCCATTTGGTAGAAGGAGAGAACTGAGCTCCACAAGTTGTCCTTTGACCTTTACACCTGTGCTGTGGCACACCCCCTCCCACAAATAAATGAAAAAATGTGTAATTTTTAATTTAAATTAGAAAGGTCAGGCATGATACACACATACATGGAGATGTCACAGTGAAACCCACTATTTGTACAATTAATAAGACTGAATTAAAAGATTGATATTCTACTGATGGTGTTAAGAATTCTAGCTCTGGCCTGTTTATAATAGATAGTAATATAAAATGGCCTAAAGAGAAGGAAAGTAAAGGGATGGAAAATGAATACCGGCAATGCTTACCATGTAGATGTAGCAACAGCATCATCTGTAGAAACAGAATTCCCAGTAAGAGGCACTGAACAAGACAAAGTATAATCCACCTAGAATATGTAATGATCATAAAACAGCATAAGCTTCACAGCATTGTTTGGAAATATGTCTAGTAATAGGACACAAGAACATATACACAGTGAGTGGTTGGATATATAGTTCCTAAAAAATGAGAAGTCTTCATAGGAGAAAGGGGAAAGAGCATCTAAACAACAACGAACAGGCTTCACTATAGATTTGTCCTCAATAAATGGCAAAAAGACAGTCTCTTTGAGCATCCGGAACATCCACAAAAATAGCCACAATTTAAGTCACAAAGAATTTAACAAGCTCTAAAACTTCTCCACCTTGAATATAGCAAAACTAGAAAAATAACCCCTCTAGATAATCTGTCCATTTAAAATATTAAGTCACTCTACCATTAACTGGAAATTGAAACTACGTGTTCTCAGCAATGGGAGCAGGAACCAGAATGAGATGGCCAATCAATGCCAAAGAAAATGAAAGCCTACATATCCACAGCTGATCAAAATGCAGAGAATAAATGACCGCGGGTGCCCAGCCCCAACAGATACATCTACAACACAGCCCCTACACCCTTTAAGGCTCAGGGGACATCGAGGAAGAGGAGGTGGGAAGATAGCAAGTGCCAGAAGACCAGGATGCCAGCTGTGAAATGGTGTCTTCTGGACATGATCGGTATGCTGCACCCATGAAATCTCAGCAGTTCGGCTGCCTGAACAAGACCTGTGTAATGACACCAGTTGACATGCCAGTGTGGATGGAGGAAATGTCACAAGGTCCCATCCTTAGATAAAAAGCTCCTGGCAAACAATGGCTGCTGAGAGATGGAGAGTTTTCTTCAAGGATGAACCCCTGATAGGTTATCCAGTCCCAAGTGCTCAACCCTTAACCCATACGAGCAACACTAAATGGACTCAGTAGGTTTTGTATGCATGCGTGTGTGTGTGTGTGTGTGTGTGTGTGTGTGTGTGTAAAACAATGATTAAAGCTGGACGTCGTGGTGCACACCTTTAATCCCAGGACTCGGGAGGCAGAGGCAGGCAGATCTCTGAGTTCAAGGCCAGCCTGGTCCACATAGTGAGTTCCAGGCCAGCTGGGGCTAACAAGGAGACCCTGTGTCAAAAAGACTAACCCCCCCCCAAAAAAAACAAACAAAAAAAAACCAATGATGGGGTATGAATCCAAGAGGGAGTAGGGGGACATTGGAGAAGACAGAGGGTAGAAAGGGAGGGGTGGAAATTATCTAAAATAATACTCAGTTTGAAATTCTCAAAAATAAAAACCCTATTTAGATTATATAAAATAAACTATCAGATGGGCAAATAAACAGCAAAATCATCCCAAATTATGAGGAAATTCACTCATAAAAATAAAATAAGTTACTAAAATACAAAACAAAATATTTTATCAGCAAACTTTAAGACTGATTCTTTGAAAGAAAAATAAATAAGTACACATTTATTAAGTCCAGTTACTAATAAAAACAAAAACACAGCATCAGACATGCAAAATGCAACATAGTTATGGGCGTGGAGATAATTTTTAGAATGGTAAGAAGTTTTACGGCTCTTTTTTGGGGGCGTACCTCTGAGGTGATCAGCTGCTTCTAAATGAAGTTGAACGTCTTTTCTGGCCATTGGCTGCCAGAACTTCTTTAAAGTAGATAATGAACGCAGACTTCATAGCTCTTATGAGAAGCATATGGCCACCACTGTCCTGTAAAATAAGATGTAGATTAGTGCTATTTTAACATTCCTTTAATCCCAACATTTGGGAGGCAGAGGCAGGTGGATCTCTAGGAGTTCAAGGCCAGCCTGGTCTACGTAGTGAGTTCCAGGCCAGCTGGGGCTACAGGGAGACCCTGTCTCAAAAAGAACCCCCCCAAAAAAATTGAAACGTTCTCAATAAATGAATAGCATTAACTACAATGGATATTGAAAAGTTGTCAAAATTACAGCTTTTAAAGAGTCCAGGATACTATAGTTTCATTTGTGAGATCTATTAAACTATCAAGGAATAAATCATTCCTATCTTATAAATTCCATAGTAATAGAAAGAGGCAGGAAACCTCCCCAGTCATCCTAAAAGATGAACATAGGCTAATTCCTGGGCGGGGGGAGGCGGTGTTTTGTTTTGTTTTTTGTTTTTTGTCTTTTTTGAGACAAGGTCTCCTTGTAGCTCCAGCTGTCCTGGAACTCACTATGTAGACCAGGCTGGCCTTGAACTCACAAAGATCCTCCTGCCTCTGCCTCCTAAGTGCTGGGATTAAAGGCGTGCACCACCACGCCCGGCCCAATTCATATTTTTTAAGAAAGAAAAGTCTTCTGGCTTTGACAATCTTTCTGCCCCATTTTTTCATGATTTTCCCAGAGACTTAGGTATAGGGATTAGGTTATAGACACATCAAGTGGAGCTGGGCACCACATAGTCACTTACTTTCTGCATTTTGATCAATTGGGGATTTCTGTAATAGCCTCCATTTGTTGAAAAAAAGAAGCTTCTTTGATGAGAAGAGCTACATTTATATGCAAATTTCACAAGGAAACTGCCCCCTTGAAATCTCAATTGCCTAAGCAAGACCTGCATAATAACAGCACCCATTGACATGCTGATGTGGATGGGAATATTTCTCAAGGTGCCATCCCTAGATGAAGAGCTACTGGCAGTCAATGGCTATTTTCTCTAGGGACAAGCCCCTGATAGTTTATTCAATCCTAAATGTTCAACCCTAAACACATGTATATACGAGCAACACTAAATGGACGGGAGATTGTGTGTGTGTGTGTGTGTGTGTGTGTAACAATAATAATTAAAGAAGTCGTCATGAATTTGAGAGGAAGTGGGGGGACATGGGAGGAGTTGGAAGGGGAGTGGGGAAGAACGATGTAAACACAACATTCACATATGAAATCCTCAAAAAAATAAAAATTTAAGTTAAAAAATGAGAACCAAGACGTCAGAAGCATGTGTGGGGGTATTGTCATTTGAATACAAAAGGCTAACCCAAAATAGGAAATCCAAGCAAATCAGTTTTGTAACAGTGAATAGGGGCAATAAGGTGGAGATTCACCAAGAAAATCATCATCTTGTAATAACCAATTAGCAAATACAACAGGCAGGATATTATGCTATCACTTTTTCTAGTCAATATTATGTTGGAAGGTCTATCCAATGCAATAATTTAAAAAGAATGGGGCTGCGGAGATGGCTCAGTCCATAGAATCCCTGCCTTATAAGTATGAGAATCTGAATTTAGAATCTCAGCACCCATATAGAAGCCAGGGGTGGCAGTGTACAAAACAGATCAAAAAGTTATAAATGTGAACATATTAAAATTAGAAACTTAGATTCAGCAAAATAAATAAAGCTAGAAATAAGCCACACATTGGAATGAGATTCTTGAGATAGCTAGTAAGGGAATTAATATTAAAATATCAAGGATTCTATGTGAACATGAAGACACATACCCCGTGAGTCCAACGAGCAGAACTGCGAACGTGCAGTTCAATGGGAGATAAAATCAAAACTCTCAACCTACAAATCATTTTCAAGCAAACTTTTGTTACTTATTTTATTTTTGCGATTACAGTTAAAATACACAGCCACGCTTAAAAACTTCACATAGGCAAAAGAATAAGTTTTCAGAAACTTGTATATAAAAGTTAAAAACATTCAAAGTAGTGCTTTGTGTTTGCGGATTTAGTGAACGGTATCAGCATTCAGGGCACGCCAAATGCTGAATTCCTTTTAGTAATTCCTCCTGGAGAACAAGGCTGAGGGAGCTTCACCTGTGCAGGGAGATGGCCAGATTGGGTTGGGCTCTCTCCCCTCTCTGGTCCAGGTGTGCCACTGGGGAGGCCTGGCAGGACATCATGCTGGCCTGCATGCCAGGCAAGAAGTGTGCCCCAGAGTCAGAGCCCGGCAACAGCACAGAAGGAGAGATGCCCTGTGGCAGCAGTTTTGCTGTCTTCTATTTCATCAGCTTCTACATGCTCTGTGCCTTCCTGGTAAGCCGAGGTGGGACTCAGTGGCAAAGGGACGACTGTAGTTTGGGGGCAGCTTGGGGGCAGGGCAACCCCAGCAAAGGGGCTGACTTTGGAAGACTAAGTTAATAGGGATATCCCACCACTGAGAAGGACCAGAAGCCTTGGGCAACTCAGCCATACTCCTTGTCCATTTGTGGCCCCTGTCATAGTGGTATTATCCCAGGACAAAGATGTGTGAAAGCTCAGCAGGAACTTGTTTGTTTTTGGTACTCTTCTTAGGAATGAGAGAAAATGGCCTGATAAAGTCACTCTCCATCCTTGGCACCTTGATACAAAGGAAACTGTTTAGTCTGCATCAGGGTTCATCCCTCACAACACTCAAGGGAATGGTTTCGGGTTCAAGTCCAAGAAACTCAAGTTCTAGTGACTGGTGTTTTAAGTGCTAACATACTGCTGATTTTTAGAAATGTTGGCTTTTGCCTTGCCTGGGCACCCGCTAGTGAACTAGGTTTAGGTGGCATGTATGTAAGAAACTTGGAGAATGTCTCAGTGTGCTGTTCCCTACAGATCATCAGCCTCTTTGTAGCTGTTATCATGGACAACTTTGACTACCTGACAAGGGATTGGTCTATCCTTGGTCCCCATCATCTGGATGAATTTAAAAGAATCTGGGCAGAGTATGACCCTGAAGCCAAGTAAGTTCTCAGAGGGAAACCCTGACTCCCCAAGCTGAGAAAGGAGACTGAGTGACTTGTACCACAAGTGGTCTGAGAGGGTTCAAACCTAGGAGTACTAATTGAAAACACTGAGCTGTACCAGACCCAGGATAACAGGTCAAGAGGCAGCAAAAGGGGGACCCAGCAACTGAATGTAAGGATAAGGGACCCTGGTGTCAGGAGTGACTGGTAATACATTATATTATTTAGGGATAGGAAGACTTCAACTTCGTCCTGACCTCAGGTCTAAAGAAGCTGTCATTTTTCTCCCGCCTTTGATTGGCACTCCCTAAACACCTCTTGGTCAAATGATTAGTTGACATACTGAAATTTCATTGCACTGTTAGAATCCCCTCTGCCTTAAGGACTGCAGTAATAATGTTCATTAAAACCGTACTGTGTGTGCTGGTTCTGGAGTTCTGTCACGCAGCTCTGCTCTGTGCAGGACTCGCAGGGCCCCTATGGGAAGTGCCCCTCTGTATCTGGAGTCACCTCCACCCAGTACTGGAGCCCTGGCCTGCTCACTTCCCTTCCTTTCCTCCTTTCTTCTCTAGGGGTCGGATCAAACACTTGGATGTGGTGACCCTCCTCCGAAGGATTCAGCCGCCCCTGGGCTTTGGGAAGCTGTGTCCTCACCGTGTGGCCTGCAAAGTAAGAAATGACCTGGGATTCTGGGAAATAAAGGGCAAATATGGGAAACTAGATACCTATTTATCTTTGTGACCTTTGTTAGAAAGTGATGCTTTAAGGGACTAAAGATAATACTTCAAGTATTTAAAGAAACAGATGTGAGCCAGATTATATTTTAAGGATCCTTCCAGATCTGGCTTCTCGAGACTCCATAAAGAGCAACAGCGTGAATGTCCTGCGACCCAGTGAGGGAACACAGGTATCCTATCTGAATAAATGATTTGTTTGACCCATCAGGCTGTACTGCCCAAGCATCCTGAGGGCCTTCCTTGTCTAGAGAGAGAGGTTAGGAGTTCTTGCCAGAAAACCATTAGAGAGGCCGTGCGTTGTCTTCAAGTATCTGAGGAGCCCCAAAGTCTCATCACAAAACAAACTTTACTTAGACAATCCTAAATTTGCTTAAACATCCTAAGTGAGTCTGTGAAGCACATTAGGCTCCGGTAAATACAACTTCTGATTGCACCTGAGTGTAGGCATCCTTAAACTTGCTGTAGCTCCAACCATGAGGCCCAGCAGCTGCTGAGGACCATTACCTCTTTCAGGTCCCATACTACCTCCATTCTCCCCATTCTGTGTTTTCAGTGGGATACTAATGAGCTCAGAGAGAGAAAGTGATACCAGAGAGCTGTAGAGAGGAAGAAAAAAAGTGGCCAAATGATTCAGCTCTCATTTATGGGAAACATAATTGCTTCTGTGTTTCCTGACATTTCAGGAAATGTAGAACCTTTTTATTTATGCTGCTTTACTCAGATTTTTCTCATTGGTACCCCCACCTTATTCCAAAAACAACTTTAAGAGATTTCCAAGGAGAAAAGAAAAAGACTCTTCTGTTAGCCAGCTTTCAAGTGCTGTGGCAAAATGCTTGAGATACTCGATTCATAAGAAAGAAAATACTTAAGAGACTCAATTTACTTATTTTGGCTCACAGTTTTGGATGTTCCAGTCCATGATCACTTGGGCCTAGGCTTTGGATCTGTGGTGACTTAGTACATTATGGCTGTGGTGGAGGAGGCCTGTTTGCTCATGGCCTATTTACGTAAGAAAAGGGGAGGACAGAAAGAAAGAGAGAGACAGAGACAGAGACAGAGACAGAGAGACAGAGAGAGAGAGAGGCAGAAAGAGCAGGATCCTAATACCCTCCTCATGGGCATGGATCCCAATGACTTCATCCCACTAGACCCCACCTTCTGAAAGTTTCCCACTTCCAAATAGTGCCAAGGCTGGAGACTGAGCCTTTATGACATGGTCTTTGGGTGACATTTAAGATACAAGCCATAAGAAGAACAAAGCAAATGGGATCAAACAGTCTAAAGGTGTCTGATGTGCACACATCGTGACCTCCCCCTGGGCCTGGGTAGGCTCAGAGCTGAGATGTAAGCTTTCTAATTCAGTGTCCATGAGAGTCAAAAAGATGCATTCGCTCAGGAAAAGTACAGCTCTTGACAATCAGCAGGAAGACCCCAGGTGATCCAAGGGATGGCATTGCTATAAGCAAGTGCCTGTGGCTCCCCAAGGGAGCATGGTGTCATGGGAACATGTTTTAGAGAGTGGAGGCGACAGGAAGGCAACACAACTGTGTCTGGGTCAGTAAACTTGGGGTCAGACTTGAGGTTGAAGTAGTGTATATGCAGAAAGAGGTGCCCCTCGTCCCCCACAGAAGCCTTCTCATGGCCCTCTTCTTTGGAATATGGATGATGCTTTCTGGCAGGTGGCTCCTAGGAAATGCCTGGTACACAGCTGTTCGTTGCAGCTAGTAAAGGACATAACCATGCCTGTAGGCATGAGCAAACACTGGGCAGAAACATAAGCCAGGTTGCTAGAAACACTTTTGTGGAAGCAATGGTCCAAGGAATGGGGAGGGGGCAATAGTGTTTACAATAAAGGCCAGTTTCTCCTTGGAAAAGCTTCTGAAAACTGTGGTGGCCATGTTCATTCCTCTCTCCCTCCCCAACAGTATCCATCCATGTTTCCAGGGCCCTCCTAACCTTTCTGCCATGATGGTTATAGAGTCTTTGAGAACTGCCTGCTCTTATCATTGACTGTCTCCCTTTCCCTCTAGCGCCTGGTCTCCATGAATATGCCTCTGAACAGCGATGGGACAGTCATGTTCAATGCCACCCTGTTTGCCCTGGTCAGGATAGCCCTGAGGATTAAATCAGAAGGTAAAGGCTCGCATAGACCACTGATAGGAGGATGCCTTGGAAGGTCTAGCATCCCTACCAGATAGATGCTCCTGCCTGTGCAGCATCAGCACAATGAGATCCTGACAGCCCTAGAAATGATCCTGGTAAAATATGGAAGGGGGTGATTGTTTCCAGAGCAGAACCAAGCCCCACTTCAACTGACTTGAATTAGTTATAGGCATGTCTCTCAAACACTCAATTCTCTTTTGAAATTCAAAGGACCTCTCTTGCAGAGGTGATGTAATGACCAGCAGTGACTATGGTAAGTAGTCATCACATACTACACTGCTAAGGGTTAAGGTCCCACCCATGATGCACTGCTCAGACTGCTTCCAGTGGAGAGGCCTCTTGTAGTTTGTGGAGAGGTGCCCCGTGGGCTAGTAGCTTGCTGGTGAAAGGCATTTTCTGTCCTTCTCTCTGATGAGTATTTTTGAATCACTCGGGGGAAACATTGCATGAACCATACTGAAGAAGATGCTGCTGCTTCCAGAGCTCCCCGCCTGGTACAGGGCTTCTGTGATCAGAGAACACGGGCCCTGGAATCACTGTACACTGTTCAGAGCTGCATCTATGAATCCAAATGCCTGAGGGCAGGCCTTGGAACCTGCATTTAGAACCAGCTGCATAAATGACTCATGTATGAACTAGGGTTTAACACTGCAAATGCATCCTTGAAAGCCCCAGGCTTCCAGCCAGCATTCTCCCTGGGGCTGTGGAAGGGGCACTGGGCAGCATGCACAATACGTGTCTCACATCAACATCTGCATTTGTAAACTAATGAATGGTGATGGCATTTGGAATTCATTTCAGTCAAGTTCTTTCAGAGAATAACAGAAATGAAATGACAAAAAGGAGAGACCGGAGAAGTCCAGAAAATGTGAGTCGTGAGCTAACCGTCAGAAAATAAGGATAAGTCACATCCACCTGCTAAACTGAAAAGGAAGCAAAGACTATAAAACATACCATTAGAAGGTCACACAGAAACCCAGTCTGTGGTAGAGGTACACAGGCCTATCTCCCATGACAGAATTCAATACATATCTAATGTACTCATGTGTGTAACACAGAAAAAGATCGGAAGGAAGCCTGTTAATATATTGACATTGAATATCACTGTTCTTAATTTCTGAACTTCCCCAGTTTTCTGCAATGATTATTTCATTTCTGTTCTGAGGGAAGGGCTGTTTTGTTGCAAGAAGAAGACAGAATGCTTGCTGGAAAGAATGTGCTGTCATACTTAAAGCTTGATATAAAGGTTTGTTCCAGGGAGAAACAAAAAACATTTGTACATAGAAGGCAAGATTTGGTAATGCTGAGGATGCACTGTGCAGAAACCAAATCTCCATGATATGGTGCCAGTAACTGATGGCAACATAGAGGGGCCACCAAACGCTCGATCAGAGATGGCCACTGTTAAGGAGATGGGAATTCCCAGGAAGAGGAGGAAAAGCAGCCATCGGGATGTGTAGTTAAGAAGGATTAAAGAAAAAGCTTTTAAATACAAAGACTTCAGGACAGCAACCAGGGCATGTCCTAACCCAGGACTCAAGGCTGACAGGCCTCCCATGAACGTATTACACAAGGCTGGGTGACAAAATCATGCTTTTAGAACCTGGGAGCAACATCTATGAGAATAAAACATGTCGAGGCTTTTGCAAATGGAAGGAATGGGAAAGAAATGAACATGTACCTGGAGAACCAGAACTCTTATCCCGAGTCCAGTATCAAGCCGAGCAAGATTTTCTTTTGGAACACTAAAGATAGTATAAAATATTTAGATTAGGACTGGGGGGTATAGCTCAGTGGTAGATGGGTAGCCTAGCATGTTCAATCTCTAGCACCAAAAACAAAAGCACTTAGGTGCTATGAAATCATCGTTGGTGAAGTTCCAGTCACATAGGTTATTATGAGATTAAATAAAAGTGTAAAATGTATGAAAGATCCTTCTAGATGATACATTTATGTCAAGGTCTGACATGACAAATGACCACAAAGATGGTTCTCACAATTTAAGAGAATAACTGCCTAAAAGTAAGGTGTGGGCAGAGTTGCCTCTTCTGGAGGCACTGGAAGAGAATGGGCTCCCTGTGTCTCTGGATTCTGGTAGCATCAAGCACCTGGCTCCATCCCTCAGCCAAGACCTCTTGTTCTAAGGATACTAGTCATACTGGATTTGTGAGCTACCCCAACACACATGACCTTCTCTAGTTCCATCTATCTCTATTTCTTCTACTTCTAGATCAGTTCACATTCTAAGGTTCCAGGTAGACATGAATTTGTAGGGGGATATTCTTTCCAACCCAGTACAAAAGATGAGTTCATCTGATCATTGTTTTAGTCAGAATTCTTTCACTGCAGGGATCAGAAGCCAAGCCCAGAATGTTGGTACATGCCTGTAATCCCAGCATTTAGAAGCC